TCAATTTTTTTATATTTTGTTTTTATGTATTTCTTCATTTCTTCATTGTTTTCATATTTTTAAATGTAATACATATATATAATAATATTTTATGTTATAAGAAATTATTTTATTGATGAGATTCAAAAATATTAATATCCGACTATCGCACCATAAGATAATCAAGCTAAAGAAATCATCTTCATTTTTTTACTTTGGATGTTTGTTTCTTTCTCACGTATTCATGTATATTTAATTTATTTTCAAAAGTATGTAATTTTTTAACAAAATAAACTTTTTTTATATAATTATCAAACCAAATATCTAACACATTTATTCTTATACTTTAATTCATACTTGAAATCCACACTTTACTATTAAATTGTAACTTAAATTATATAACCTTTCAATTGACTATTTGTTTCCTCCATTCAATTTCAATTAACACACTATAAAATATAATTATAACTCCTCTAATTTACTTATTTTAGAATTGTAACTTACATCATATTTTATCCTATAAATACTCATTTTTACATCCTCCTCCACCATATATGATATTCTCAATATTTTCTTTTCAATGTTCTTGCATGGGTTGAAAGCTCAATTAAGATATTACTAGTGATGACCCGCACATACGTGCGGAGTTATTTTTACAAAACTACGATTTTTAAGTAAATGCTATTTTGGTAAAGTTTTGTTATATGAGTTTATTTGATAAACTATATATAGACATACAGTTGTAAAACAACAAAATGAATACATAATACAATTTTAAAATTATTTAAATGAAAATGATAAGTGATATTACGTGTTTATTTTTTAAACTAATCAAAACATTTATAACTGTTTGCTTAGAGATGTTAAATCGGATTTGGGTTTGGCTTTAGTTTGAATTGTTTTATGTGTAGTTTAGAATGGAAAACCCGTCCTGTCCCTTTCCGTTTCGCCCTGACCCGTCCTGTCCCACCCCGCCCCGTCCCGTCCCGTCTTCTATCTGTCATAAAATTTCTGTCCCATAATCATATCTT